GTCCTAAACATCTCACTACTATCCGAAAGATGTGACATTCAGTCTCTGGAATAAAGCTGTTTTCCTCCTCTTATATCTAGGAGCTGAGGCTTAAGATATTAATATGGACAACAAGGAGCAGCAAGCAGCTTGGTCCCTTTCCTTCCTTCTTCAGGAAATTGCGCTCTTATGCAAGAGAAATGCAGGTCCACGCGTAGTGGATCAGTCATGATAAAAAAATCTGTTTGTGAGAGAGGGAAGCTCATTTCCCCACTGAGAAGATGCATTTGTTTGAGGCAGACAAGGAAGGAGAAAGCAGCTTTAGTGAGGGCAAGGAAGGGATTAAGCCATGATGACAAGCACGTTGGTTGGAAATGAGCACAATTAAAAAAACATGAACCCACCTGACCCTCATATGAAACCTGGGGCAATCACTGTCCACTCCTGATGTGAGAAACCAGCACAATTATTCTGCAGATCGTTAGGATTCTGGAAGAATGAGTTTCCTGGTTTTGCCTGTGATTTCCATTTTCTCATTACTGACAGAAGCTGCATTTATGGATCTTTCCCTTTCATCAAACAGGAGTGTCTTGGGCTGGTTCTTAAAAAATTGGCCCTCCCAAAAGGCATCCTGTCAAAAGCTTAGACAGGCTCATCTCAGCTGCTTCCGTGAGAACTGCCCTCCCTCTCCCCCTCCCTCATGACTTTTTTTTCTTTTCGTTTTCTTTTTCTGCCGTGGAGAAAGGTTTCATGGCTGTGGGTAGGCAATTAGATTTCAGAGCCGAGAGCTCCGCTGCGCTTTGCCAGGAACTGCTGGAGCGAGCAGGAGAGCCCATGGGCTTGGAATGCCTGGCACGGAAGCTTGTCTCCCAACACGGCCGCTCCCAGGATGGGCTAGAGGAGCATGTTTGCCTTTGTTCTGAAAAGGGAAATCTAATTTCATCCCCTGAGCACTAGCTGTATGGTAATTCCAGAGCTTGGCAATATTGCCTCTCAAAAGCCTGGGAGATTGCCTGGCTTGTGAAATGTCACGAGTTGGCATGCATGGTCTGGGAGCCAGTCAGGGTCCAGCAAGCAGACCACTCGGGCTTGGTGCTCAGCCTGTATGTGTGTCCCCAGTTCCTTGGAGAGCTGCTGTCTCTCTGAAGAATTAAGGACTCTGTGTTCACACCCCAGCCTTCTCACTTGCCCCTGGCTGAGTCGCAGGGCTTGGGGCTGACATCTGATTTCCAAAGCCACTGGGAACAAAATGCCAACATTTGTCTAAGAGGGCAGTCAGGTGCCATAGATAGAACTCTGGACTGGCGTCTGCCAAGAGAGGGGTCCAGGCCTGGTAGATCATGTCTGTGTGCCCCCAGACAGTGGAGCTTGTCTTCTTTCCCTACGGGAAGGGAGGTACAGGACTGAAGGATGAGAAGATATTAAGTAGCTGTAGGTGCAGTGATTAAAAAGTGGGACTGAGTGATGGGAAAGGGATTGGAGGGCTTCCCTGAGGAGGTGATATTCAAGCTGAGCCGTGGTAAGAAGGAACTAGCTGTGCAGAGATTTTCGGGAGGAGGGTCCCGGGTGGAGAGGACTGTTCGCAGAGTGTGGAGTAAGCCTGCCACACCTTTGGAACAGGAAAGAAGCTTGAGTGACTGGAATGGTGTGAGCGAGGGGGAGATGACGTGGGATGAAGTCAGCCCTGTAGTGGGAAGAAGGTAGGCTGAGAAGCAGAATATTTTGCAGTAGTTTACAAGTAGCGGAGACAGTGATGACCTGATTTGTGTTTGAAGAGGATCACTCTGCTTTTTGGGTGGAGGACTGCCTGGAGGAGGCACTGGGAGCAGGCAGGATTGTTTGCCAGAAAGCTAGTGCTGAACTCCAGGTGGATGAAGAAACCATTCTTACCTTCCAAGGACAGAAGGCACTTTCTGCAAAATGAGTGGTTACCCTTCCTCAAGAAAGTGTGTCTAGGTCCTTTGCCTATTTTGGACATTGAGCAGAGAGTCAGCTGGGTGCAGATTAAAAGCACTTTCAAAAGTACATAGCATTTACATTGTATTATATATGTTATGAATGATCTAGAAAAGATTTAATGAGCAAAGGAGGATGTGAATAGGTTATATGTAAATTCTATAACATGTTATAGAAGAAATTTTTGGTATCTGCATGGGATCCTGGAACCAATCTCTTGAGAATACTGAGGGATTACTGAACCACCGAACAGCCTTGGAAAGGGTCGAGACCGCCCAGGGAGATGGCTTATCTTCATTTGTACAGGGCTGCACCAGACACAAAATGCCACAGTTATGAAGGGACCTGGAATATAAGTATGACAGTGCAAAGAAAGCTGATAACAAGTCAAGGGCTATCTGTTCACAATTGGATATGTGAAACATATGAACTACTACAACAGCAATAGCAATAACTATACACTACACGGAGAAGGCTTTGCTGTTGTCAAGTATATCTGTGAGGGTCTTGTCAAGAAAGAGAACTTCACTTAGATAATTCCATTGAAGAGATTTTGGAGAGGACTATTGGCATAGAAATGGCAAATGAAGGGAATCAAGGAGTATGAGGTATCAAGGAGTTTATGGTGCCAGATAACAAATTTTGGCCACACATTCTTCCCACCTCAGTATCCAAGCCCCTTTGCAATGTGACTATGAAGCTTTTTCCATTAAGAGATGGAATAGATTTTCCCAGTCCTTCCGTGTGGCCTGGTCTTGTGACTTGCTTTGGTAATTTGACAGCAGAATATGCTAGAAGCAGTGTTATGAAGTTTCAAAGGGAAGGCTTCTAAAAGCTTTGCTACTTCCGCCTTACCCTTCTTTGTAGATAACCTGAGACTTCCACCTGAAAAGGTGCAGACTAGCCTAGTGCAGAAGGAGGGGCCAAATGAAGATGAAATGGAGGATGTAGCCAATTGTGAGCCTAATGATCAATACCAAGCCACTGGATGACTGCAGCCACAAGTGACTCTGTAGGACCAGCAGAACTGCCCAGGTGAACCTAGGCCAAGCTGCAGAATCATCTGCAAACTAATGGTAATTTTAAGTGACTATGTTTGGGGTGCATTGTTATATAGCAATATATAGCTGATACAACTCATGTGCAATTGATAGATGGTTCCTTAGGAATGTCAGAACAGGGGAACAAAATAGTCCACCCTTCCTCTCCTCTTTCCTTCCTATTCTTTTTCAGTGCCTCCTGTGGGGTAATCCCAACCAGAAGCCAGAGGTCAAGGAGGACAGGGCCATGCAATCTATCAGGGTAAACTTTGGAGCTGAAAATGGATCTAGGGGTGAGTTGAGGGGACAAATAAAAAAAATAACTGGGCAGCTAGTAGGTACTTTTAAAGACGCTCACCTATGCTAATAAGTACAGAGGTGGGGGAAACTGCTGCCTCTGTACATGACTGTTAAAGTGCTTTCAAAGATTTTGTTTTTGCATGCTTTTCTGTTTTGTTTCATATACAGCGCTCAGGAAAGAAACTTACAAGGAGCCAGGCAAATGCACTGACTCATTCTGACCCTCCCCTTTTAGGTGACCTTGAGTAAATTTTGCTCATTATGATGCTATATTCTCCACCCAGGGGTGTTCTTGTTTGCTGTTTTTCGGAACATGTGATACATGAAGAAGTACCATGGCAAGCAGAACATGCTTGGGAAAGTGGCTGCCTCCAGGTATGATGACAGATCTTTCCTTTACAAATATGGAGTTTCGGGCTGGGGATTTAGCTCAGCGGCAAAAGCGCCTGCCCGGCAAGCGCAACCTCGTGAGTTCAGTTCCTGGTACCGGAGAAAAACCAAAAAAAAAAAAAAAAAAAAAAAAACAAATATGGAGTTTCTCCAATAAAAGCCCCCTGCTTTCTTGTTTGGGGAAGACACTACTTTGGAAATTATATTCAGTTTTCTTCTTACTTTCTACAAGAAATAAAGCTTTCTTCCCTCTTTTGCATCTTGGTTATGCTTACCCTCTGCGCTCACAAAGGAACAAACCCACCACATTGGTTTTACAGCCATTTTGCAAGGAAGACTGAATATTCAGTCCTAACACTTATTCTAGAAGAGGCTCTGCCTTTGTGGTAGCATGAAGGTCTGCAAATTCAGAAAACCCAAATGCACACAGGCTCACCCTTCCAAACATCATCCACCTTTCTGTGGAAGGGAAAATGGTCAGAGACTGCCCCTTTATTGCTATTCTCACCGCTTTAAGCTAGTCCACAGCATATTCACCGCTTCCTCAATGTCTAGCATCCCCTGTGAAACGGGAAAAGGGACAAACACAGTGTGCACAGTTCAGGGACCTCAGCTCCTCTCTTGCTAGCATCCCAGACCACCCACGTTTCCTACAGGGACACTTTTCAATCATTTCCCAGCTGGAAGGCGGGAACTGGAAGTTGGAAACACTCCGGCTTCTGCTTCTCCCCACAGCTCTGCACCCAAGCTATGCGCAATCCTTCCTGGCACCGACCTGTGGGAATGAAGGGAACTTGGCAGGGCTGTGGCACCAAAGCTCTGCCCTCAGGCCTGGAAGGAACTGGGGGGCTTGCTTTTTCATACCTATCCTTGCAGCAGGAACAATGAACCAATATTTTAAAAATTGTCTTTTCCTCTGTGACCAAAATTCCATTGTGATTTAGTGATCATTTAAGTTGCATTCAGGGAAAAAGTAAGAGATATTTTTCTTGCTCTTTTACCCTGAAGTGATATTAGCAGATTATAGAGCAGCCCAACTTTAGAGAACAGCAGGACAGAGCTCCTGGGAGGGTGGGTTTATCTAGACAAATGTTAGGCAGAAGAAAAACCCAAGGAAAGATTGAAGCAGGTTGGCTGATGCAGGAGCAGGAGAGTTTATTTTTTAAAACCTGGCTGATGAATGAAGACAAAGTAATTTTTTAGCTTCTTACCAAAGAGCCCCCAGGGGAAGGCAGCTGAAATTGAGGGGATAATAGAAACGGTGGGGAGGCAGGCTGTGCGAGGACGGAGGTGGAGGAGACACTTGCTGTTGATGAGAGCATGTAGGGGTGGAACATGACTCCCCGGAGAGCAGGACCTCCAGTCTGCCCAATGCTGACCCCCATTCTGGAGTGCAAAAAGGAGCGGCTCTCCTGCGGGACAGCTCTAACAGGCCGAGTTCGTCTGGGGCCTTACGATGCCGAGGCTCTTGTTTCAGGTGCTGACTTCCTAATGAGACCAGCATGGAGAGGCTGAGCTGGCGGTGTTATCTGTCACACAGTGATAAACAAGGCCACGACTGTTTCCTGTCCTTTTCTGCTATAGATCTAGTCCCATCCGTCGCTCAGTGGTCAACACCGCGGTTTCCCACCCATGGTTGGAGGATAATGATGCCTGTTGGCATTGTGCCTTCAGACCTTGGGACACAAGGGACAATCTTCTTTCCTGACACAGATAGGGAAAAGGTGGATGGATGGGAGCGCTTTCTAACAAATGAGTGACTTTCCTCCACTTGAATAGAAATGGGAGAGACGAGGGAAATGGAGTGGGGCAGCCTCGAAAGCCCTGAAACCAGGCTCAGAGCAGCATTCAATCAGAGACTGACATTTGCCTGGTGACCTCTTATCTATCCCGGTTGCTCAGTCATCAGCTCTTTGTGCTGCAGAATTGGGAAGGAATGGTTTGTCCTGCCCAGCTGATCCTGGGCCAGCTCTCTGCTCAAGTGCTCACCATTAACATTTCCCTGACGTGTGACTGATATCTTCATCTCACTTTGGTAAATAGTCCACCTCCAGGCCAAGGTGACCGTGACCTCTGGTGCTGTGGAGCTGCACAGGATTCTCCCCAGGGACCCTGGCAAAGCACTTTCACATGGGTGAGGGCTGCTATTTCCCCTCCTCACCATTCTGATTAGTGCTGACAAGAAATAAATAACCATGTGACAGAGCAGACAGCAGGCGAGCCGGACAAAGAAAGAGAAGTGAAGAAGGGCACGAGGGAGGATGGGGAGAGGCAGGGGGAAGGTCTGACTTAGAAGTACTCTCTGTAACTAAGAACAATGCAGCTGCCCAGGAAGCTACCAGAGGCAGCCCAGGCTATTAATAGGTCTGCACACATGGGGCCAAGCTGCAGCATTTCTGACGTTCAGAAAGGATCTCCAGTGTGAAGTCGCTCGGAGGGCCTGATTTTGCCAGCACAATTAAATATAGTTTCTTTGGGGTAAGGGCTGAGAAGGAGGTGGGTGGATTGCAAATCTGTGCTGCAGTGCAATTTAGTTCTAAATGTTTCTGGGGGTGTCTATACCCTGAACAAACGTTTCTGAATACGTACCATGTGCTAAGTTCGAGGTACACATGCATGCAACACAGGTTGCCCTCACAGAAGCCCATAGTCCGGTGACATAACCATTGCTATTCCTGCTGGGGCCAGGCAGATGATATAAATAAGTGAGGCCGGCAAGAAGGTGAGACATTAGAGTGCAGCGGGGACTGTGAGAATTGTGTACCTACATCCACTATCCAGGGACTGGCGAGCTACTTGGTCTTAGTTGACTGTCTCTGTGCCAAAATATCTGTCCAGTATTGCTGTACTTTATCATATTTAAAGAAGAAGCCAGATTTGGAATTTTGTGTATCCTTTTCTGTTTTTCTTTTAATACTGTGTAAGCTAAATAAACCATGTCTGTAGCCTTCTGGGACCAGGAGGTGTGTGATAATAATTTAGAATAGGAGCTGAAATAAAAAGAGATCCCAGGAGCTTATGAGAGCCTGGGGCAGGCGGGCGTTTATCTCAGCCCAGTGGGGAGGTATACTGGGTCTGGAAAGATGTGTTATGGTTGCGTAAGTCCTGGTGTGGGAGATCTTGAATGACACTGTAAAGCATGGCAAGAAGGCTGAGAGAGCTCTTCACGCCGGGTGGACTGGGAGTTTAGCTAGAGACGCTGCACATGCCTGCTCCATGGAACTCTAATTTCTCCGCCTCCTTGTAACCAAAGGTGGCCATCTGACAACGGAGCCTGTCTCACGGCCTCGGAGGGAGGAGGCCACCCATTCCACTCTTCTCTTTTCCTCCCTTTTTGCTGACAGCACAGAGCCAGGAGCATAGATTGTGCAGCTGGTGATTAACACTCTTTCGCTCCGGTTTCTGTGAAATTGAGATAATAATATCCAACCCATAGAGAGATTCTGAGAATTAAAGGATCTGTATCTTTACAGGACTGCAAACAATGGCAGGCATGTGTCGGGGCTGCAAGGCCTTCTGTCATCAGTATCGCTCTGCTGACAATAGTATTTATTCTGCAATGCTCCCAGGTGGTAGAAGAGCAAGACAGCAAGAGCCTGGGTCCTGGTTTCAGCCTGGCACCTGTACTCATATATGGGGGGAGTCAGCTTCTCTGTTGTCTGAGTCATAGTGCTCTGCATCTAGGACACGGCAGCTGGGCTTGTACCCTGCAGACACAGTGAGTACCTGGGGATTAGCTGGGGATTTCCTGGCCTGCAAGAACCAAGTGAAATGGCCTCAAATTGCCCCAAAATGCAGAGTGACACCAATACGCAGATGTATGTGGCTCTTGGACGTTCTGCTTTGTGAGCCCAGATATTTCTCCTGTCAACCTGAGCTGTGCACAGCACTGTGGTTGCCAGAATGGGTTGGTTTCCAGTCCCTACTCATTAGCAATCCCAGCCAGTGGCCCATGTGACATCTAGGTGGGTGGAGCCGGCTCCTTTGGAAAGGGGTTCACAGAAGGCCCAGATGAGCAGGGCATGGCCATCACACGGGCTTCAATCCTTTGTTAGATCGCTGTGTCTCCTTCCCCATCACCCCTGGAACCCCTTTCGCTTCAGCTGTCTGATGGTCACAAAACTCCCCCTGGAAGGCCTCTGCTCGCAGCATGTGTGAGTGGCGAGAACCCCAGCTGCTGCTGAGCAGAATCCCCCCTCTGCGGGCTGCTCTCATCTCACACACAGTACCGCTCCATTAGTAGGCTTTGGTGCAAGGCTGACCCTGCCAAACCCAAGGAGACAAAGAGGCAGCCAGGGACGCTTCCCTCATCCTCCTTCCTCTCTCCCTTGAGGAGAGTCTTGCATCACAGCCGGACTGCTCTCCCAGCTCTCACTGCCCCCAGCTTCTCTCAATAAAACTTCTGCACATTTATTCTCAGCTAAGCATCTGTTCTGCCTTGATAAAACACTGCCCAAGTTTCTTGGAAGAAGAGATAGATTCCTTCTTTCACACTTGGGGGACTTATCAATTCCAGCACTATTTGGATATCTAAAGCACACAATACCTTGCTAAAGGTGGCACTTCAGCCACCAAGAGAATATATTTTGGTAAAGGTGGATCCCTCCTGGCTGCGTGCAGGATAAAGGGCTGGCTCTGTTCTTACATACCCAGGACAGGGGAATGTGATGTCTGGGAGTTGGGAAAGCGCTAGCGCTTTGACTAGTCTGTTTCAATCTCTAAGAGGATAAGGGAGGTATCTTTTATACCAGCTGGGACATTTTGGATAGTAGACAACAGAAACCTCAACTCAAAATGGCTTAAACAAGAAGGAAGATCTATGTTCCAAGAGGGGGGTGTCCCCAGGTCTGGTTAACTCTGTGGTTTACTGTGTTACCAAGAATCCAGGTTCCTTCTACTGTCACTCTGCTTGGGAGTCCTGGTTCTGTTAATCCTGGGTCTGTTAATCCTGCCACAGGCTGCTCTCCTCATGGTGTCAAGATGGCTGCCACAACCAGTCATCACACTCAGATACAACTACTATGTCCAGAAATGAGAGAAAGAGGGAGAAGGAGGAGGGAGGGAGAGAAAGAGAGACAGAGAGAGACAGAGACAGAGACAGAGACAGAGACATAATACATAATACATGTCAGGATAAGGAATAGAGGGGTAAGTAAGTCCTACCTGAGATAGAGTCACCACCTTGGGTAATGCTGAGAAGAAACCTGAGGAAGCTGAGGAAGTGAGCAGAGAAAAATCTGAGGAAAAATCCAGGCAAAGAAAGTAACCACAAAGGCTCCAAGGTACAATGAGCTCATCAGCTTCGAGAAGCATTGAGGAGTGTGAATTTGAGGGCTCACACTGACCGAGGGGAGAGCCCTGGACAAGGGGGAGAAGAAGGTCAGGAGCAGCCAAGGGTGAGTCTGCCTGGCTACATGGCGAACGCCAAATGCTGGTGGCTTATGCAACATATATATATTTGTTTACAGTTCTGGAGGTTGTAAGTCCAAGGCCAAGGTGCTGTCTGGGGGTTCCAGTGAGGACCCACTTCTACTTTCAGTACTGCAGAAGACTGGCTTCTTGCTGTAACCTCACATGGTATTGCCTCAGAGCAAGAGCGAGAGAAGTGAACATTTGGGTGCCTCTTCCTTCATAAAGTCACCAAGCCATTGGGTTAGAACCACTCCATCATCTATCTCCAAAGATCCACTGGTGGTTAGGGCTTCAGCTTATGCCTTTGGTGGGAGGACATGATTCAGTCCGTCACACCAGGTTATCCAAGTAGGGCTTGGCAGGCAAATGAAAATGTGGCATGGCGTTCTCTGTGGTATGGGGAAGGCCAGGAGAGGATTCCAAGCAGCAGAGGGAATGGGGTTTTAAAGGATCCTCTCAGTGTCTGTGGTAGATGGGGCCCAGCAAGGCTGAGGTGAGGGCCTGAGCTCAGAGGCTGGTATCACCAAAAGGCCACAGGTGGTAGTGACTGGTAGCCAGGGATTATGAGAAATGGTCAGATTCCAGATGCATTGGAAGATGGCGCTGATGGATTTTAGTGCTAGATTTTATCTCAGGGTTAGGGGAAGCAGTCAGTGAGCGTGGCTACATTTTTGGCCTTGAGCAGCTGGTGAAAATCAGCACCATTTACTAAGAAGAGAAGAAGGAGGCTGAGGTATAACTCAGCAGGAGAGTGCTTGCCTAGTGTGGATGAAGTCCTAGGTTTGATTCTCAGCACTCCAAATTTGGCCACATTAGCCAGAGAACATCTTGTCCCCAGGAGAATGGGACCAGAAATCCAGGCACAGATTCTTTCAACATTAACCAGAGTGGACTCAATGATGCCACATTTTGTGAAAAATGAGCCATAGATTGCAGAATTATATTCAGTAAGTCAAACTTCAAAATGTCACCAAGTGTTGATGTCAAGCAAGATTTGGCCCACCTGTACTGGGGCCTCACCATGTCTATATAACCTGGCCCAAACTTGAGGCCATTGGACATTCCCCTAAGTCTTCTCTATGGCAAGATTAACTTAATTTAGAACAATATGTGTTAGCAGTTTTCAAGGAACATGTGTCTGCTGCTCTTCTAATAGCGGTATTTAGGGTCTGGACATGGGTGTTTAAAGTAGAATCACAAGTGACTCTGGCTGGGCCCATCCTCATCCTCACTCTGGATTCCTTTAATGCTGCTCTAGGGAACTGTGGAAAATTCACAGAAGCCTTAATGGAGAAAAGAGGGCCAGCCACATTACTTATGTTGGCATAGATTTAGTTTGAACAATTATTTCACTGGTAAAAGTTTGAAAACAAATATACCCTACAAACATTATGAAGTCCTACATAAATACCCATATTCTATCCCATGAACAGTATTGGGTATGTAAATTATATGTTACTATCCCCCAGTCTCATATTTGAGCTACCCTAAATGATACACCCGCACATGGAAATTAATTGATGACTACACGAGGAAGCAAGTATAGAAGCATTTTTTGCACATTTCATAGTTGGTTGCTTAAAAATCACCATTAGATGTTACAAAACAATCATATTCTGCCACAGAATTGCACATCTCTGGGCCCCGTGCTGCTCAGCTCCACGGTTTTGGGAGCCTCATCCTCTTGAAAGGCCATCCGCCTCTTACATCTATAATCCACTT